GAACAGAGGGCAACTGAGATGTCCCTGCACCCGGGGGTCCATCTCCACCTTCTGTGGTTCTTTGGGGGTTCCTGCTCCCCTAAACTGAACACTTCCCTGTCCAACAGCCCAAAGGCTCGATTATTGCCTGGAATTGCCCTGCCCTGCTATGCTGGAATCAAAGATTGCCTTCAGAAGTATTTTTGTGAAGATGGCAATAAAAAGAAATCAGTCTCACACTTTGAACACGCGCAGTCTCCAGGATCGTTCTTTGGTGTATATTCTCTTTCTTTGCTTCCTGTGAAAACCTCGAGGCCCCCAAAGCAGGGGTTGGATGGTTAAGGACAGGCATGTTGGCGAGAAAGGTCCCGGTTCCCCTCGAGCTCCCCGACTCCGTAAGCTCACGGCTGCCCCGTGTGTGGCGCCGTGCCGGCCTCAGAGGCAAGGCAGGCATGCTCGGGCTGAGGAGACAAAGCCGCTATGTGCGAAACCGTTCAGTTGTGTTTCGTTTCTCGGCACATCAAAAGTGAGATGTTGCTAAGTGAATGTCACCTTCTGTTCCCTAAAAATAAGATAGGGATCTTGGGAACAAATCACCACTAATGACAGGAGACCCCGGAAGGCTCAGGGGCTGTCCATGTGCCAGTGCATTTTAGGGACCACCCTGCGGCGTGACCCTCCCCTGATCCAAGTGTCTGTCTGGCACAGGCAAGGCCCTGCCCACCTGGACCTGAGGCTCCTCAAAGTAACTGCTTCCTCCGGTTCTCACGGGGACTCCTCACCTGTGCATCGCTCTGGCTTCCTGCCAGTCACGGGAGAGCTTCTCCCAGGCAGGAAATCCCCACATCTTGACCACAGATCCCCTTTCTAGAGGGTTCTACCCTGCCTTTTGTGTCTTAGAACCCAGGCTGTCCTCTGTAGTTCTTGGCCAAAAAGCATGTCCAAGGAAATCATGACCATTCAACTTCCAGCAGATGCAAAGATGCCATGAAAGCAGGCCTGGGGTCTTCCAGCCCAAGGACAATGTACTAAGCAGTGACTGGCTGGTCCTGGGGAGGGAGGGGGCCAACGTGGGAGGGGTGAAAAAGAAATGAGTGTCAGAGGGAAGGGACAATGAGGTGTAGAGACTCATCGACTAGGGATGGGAATGATGTCACCTTCTGTTTCTTGGTTTCGGTGGGGACTTCGGTGCTAGCACATTAGGACACGAAGAGGAAACCAGGGTGAGTGGAGGCTGGGTGGTGGCCTGTCAGAGGCCAGGTGACCACCTTGTGGATGGATGCAGGACCCAAGTCCCTCCCAGCCCAGAGACCTACATGCGTGTAAGAACACAGAGCCCAGCCTCTCCTCAGTCTTTGCTATTTCTGCCTCCCTGACCAGGGCAGCTTCCTTTCCATCGGAGAGATACCCACTGAAAGCCATAGTGTCTGAGCCTGGCCTTTGTCGGTCCCCTCTGATAAAATAGATGCCCTGTGGGTTTTCTCTTTTGAGCTGGAACTGCTGGTCACTTCCTGACCCAGCTAGACAATATGGTGCCCTTGATAAGACACAGGGGGTGAGGTCTGAGAACTGCTGTCTTCGTGCTTATCTGCCCAGGACTCAAGGTCAGTGAGTAGGTTGGAATAAAAACACTCCACTGTCACCAGGACAGGGTCAGTCCAGAGTTCTCCACAGCCAGCAGCTGCAGCACTACCCCCGGCCCTCGACTGCTTCAGAAGTCCCTCGTTGTGTGGGTTGGGTTCGAAATGCTATCAGATCAGCACCAGTATGTGCAGAACAGCCTCTGCGAGACCTTCTCTCCAGGCGTAGTGACCTGGCAGCTCCTCAAACCTCTTTGCAAAGGGCTGATCAGCCACAAAGAATAGAAAGATGTTTCCCTCCCTGGAAGCCTTCCACTCCTTGGAGAGGGCTCTTGCTTACCTGTAGCCATGGCATGGTGCTTCATAAAGGGGTTGTCGTGAATGGGGACAGAAGGATTCTGGGAGTGAGTCAAGCCATCGAGTATTACCGCAAAACACTTAAAAGGGGTAGACTTAATTAGAGGTAACGGATTTGGGGACTTAGCTGGCTCCATTTAGCTTTACCTCAAAAATGAGGTAACATAAACATCTTGTTGGGGAATGGGTGGCGGTGATTCACCAAGAGTTGTCATACATATCCTGTTTCAAATGCCAAATTTCAAAACTACTGAATATAACAAAATGCCAAACAAATTTCAATCTGCCTTTGAAAATGCTTTGTGATCTGCACGAAGCCTTGGGGTTATCTTTGTAAATACTTATTCTTACTGGGTAGAAAAGGAACAGAGGATCGAAAGGGAAGTTGACTTGAGTAAACCTTTTGACATACCATAGAAGTTGCTCTTTTGAATAAATAGATTCCTGATAGGAACATGTTTCTCATGTATCTTTTCCTCTGAAAGTTGAGTGGCAGGGAAATAATTCTAGCTTTTAGAGCTTGATGGCCGTTTAGAAACTGAAAAAAGGAAAGAAGGTGGTTTTCTCCCATCGTTGTGCTCTGTGATTCGGTCTTGTGAAAAAAAGATGGATGAATGGGTTCCCTTCTGCATCTGGGAGCAGGACAGTTTGGAACGACATTATTTCTGTTCTGTACTCACCACAAGGTTGATTATTTTTGGATGTCAAATCCCATACTTTTACTAAATTGGGGACTGGAAATATTTTGCATATTCAGAAGAAATCTCAGATATGGAGAAAAGGCGGACTCTGCGTTTGGAGACTTGAGATTGGGAAGTATTAATTTCGAATGACTTCTCTCGGCCGGGGGCCCTCTTTTCCTTTGATACCATCATGGTTGGCTGCAGGGAAATCACCCTGTTGTCTTCACAGCTCAGGGAGACCGAGGCTCCGATCAGACACTGATGAGAACGCAGGTGTATTGAGGCTGAGTGAGATCTGGACAAGATGCAAGGTCTGAGGATCTAAGCATCGTGAATCGTGCGAGTTCCACACCCCCAGGGTGGGGCCTGTGACTCACTTCTCTTCAGAGGGCGAAGCAGCCAAAGCTAGTGTCTGTTCTCCGGTCTGCCTGATTCTTACTCCCCCGGGGTCTTGCTACAACCTGTTGCCAGAATGAATTGTTCCCTGGACTCCCATGATCCCCCTTGAAAGGCAATAGCCTCCTCCAAGGCTCTCCAGATGAGAAGGGCAGGATGCAGGTGAGGGCGGATGGGGCGTCTGGAGTGTAGATTCCCAATGCTGCTGGCTGTGCCCACGGCCACCTCGTACTGGAATTGGCATTTGTGTATTTCTTTTCTTTGTGTGTGTGTGTGTGTGTGTGTGTGTGTGTGTGTGTGTGGCGGGGCGAAGGGGACGAGGAAGTGGATAACAGTCATAATCATTTACTGAGGAAAACTTGGGAAGTACACAAAATTACAAAGAAGATCTACCTATAATGGATAATCACTGTTAAAACATTGGTATATTTCCTTCAAGTCATTTACTGAGGCTTGTTTTTAAAGCATTGCTGGAGCCATAGCGTAAATAGCTTCCAGCACTATTGTTCTCACGCTACATTCTATATGCACCGTTTTTCCATGTCGCAAAAGATTCTTTGAAAACATTTTTCTATAGATGAGTAACATTCCATTGTATGAATGTAACATCATTTATTAAATCATTTCCTTTAGTAGACATCCGGATGTCTTTTCTTTTGCACTGGCGCACACAGTGGTACAACCGAGCATGGCGGTAGGCAGGGTCTGCATACTTAATCCACCTCTTATTTTTCTTGACTGATATGTTCAGTTAGTTTCCCAAAGGGTTGTGCCACTTTATTCTGCACCGTCAGAATGCAGTTGTTATCATTTTTAAAAAATCTGTGCCGATGAGACAATGCGCTTTGTGTTTCTTATTAGCGATGCCAAATACTTTTCATTTGTTCATTATCCATTTGGATTTTTCTGTGAATTATTGTTTCCCCCATCCTATTCCAAATACAATCCCTTGGCCTACAGACAGCTTTGATTTCTTTCTTGGCTTTTGAAACAAACCATAGCATAAGGAAAAGAAGTTTGTTTATGACTACAAATTTCCTAGATGCTTACGTAGCATAGAACTCTAAAACTCCAGATGGTTTCCTCTTGTCCATTGATCTGTGCACCTCCGCTCCTTGGCAGATGTCACATCATCCCACCTTTTGGAGGTGGATGAGGTGGCGAGTTGGATGTTGGAAATGGCGTTTCAGTGAGACTGGGGAAAGCCACGGATTCTGAGGGTTTGAGAGAACTTTCAAGGTTATCTGGGCATTGCTGTGTTGGTGCTTTACATGCCCACATAGGGCCATGAGTATGTGGGAAGAACACAGGCCTCAAAGCTCCCTCATCTCCCATTTATTGGCTGTGTGACCTCGGGCAAGTCACTTTGCCTCTCTGAGCCTCAGTCTCCTTATCTTAAAATCATTTAGTTAGATTAACCAGTGGTTGCGGACTTTTTGTTGTCTCTCATTTCTTTCCCCTGCTTTCCCCATTGGACGCCTGTTTTTAAAGATTTTGATCTTTAGCATTTATTAATTGATCTCTTGGGCACCCTTGTCACAGGGGTTATTTCTGCAAGGCTTTATGAAATACTGGAAACAGTTTAAGGACCCTACCCTTACCAGTGTCAGAGGCCTGTGGGTGTCTGGGGACCCCTGAGGTTTAAAGTTAGTGAGGAGTAGACAGGATGATCTCTCAGTTTTCCAATCACATGAATATCTGGCATTGAATTTTATATTTTCCATAGCCTATGAGGCAAGCAGGGCAGGTGTCATTTCGAGTGTCAGAAAACAGATTCTTTGAGGTTCAGAGACTTGCTCGAGGTCACACAAAGCAGCGATGTCAGGACAGGGACCGACTCTGGCTGGAGCTCCTTCCCTGGACAGCTGCTTTGTCGATGTTCACACGTGCCCACGGGCTCGGGGACTTCTCCCATCCGCACCTGCCCAGCACCGTGCCAGCACCAGCAGGCACTCAACGAAGGGCGGCCCGAGCGAGCGTTCTCATCTGTCCCCCTCGCCCCCAGGTACGTGGCCATCTCCCGGGAGGAGCGGGAGCAGAACCTGCTGGCGTTCCAGCACAGCGAGCGCATCTACTTCCGGGCGTGCAGGGACATCCGGCCTGGCGAGCGGCTGCGGGTCTGGTACAGCGAGGACTACATGAAGCGCCTGCACAGCATGTCCCGGGAAACCATCCACCGCAATCTGGCCAGAGGTGAGTGCCACGCCCGCCACCGAGCCCCAGGGGAGGCTGGGAGAGCTTCTCTTGGAGCCTCCTAAGAAACCCAATGGGAAATGCAGTTCCCCAGCCACGGGAAGACCCAGAGCAATTCAGGGGGACAGATGGCCGAGATCTGAGCAGCAGCTCTAGGCCAGCCAGTGGCCACCCCTCTGTGTTCTCCTCCCCCAGGAAGGGGCTCAGAACCTTACCACACACGTTTCAGAGCAGCAGGGACAGAGACAAGTGCCCACAGCCAAGCAGACAAGTTTAATCAAAATGTATCCCGTTTCCTCAATTCAAATGGATGGAAAGATGTTACAAACTGCCCCGCCTCCATAACAACAGCAATAATGGTAACGTTTACTGAACACTGAATATGGGCTGAGCAGGTTTTCTGCACGTCCCGTGTCATCGTCACAACAGTCCCCACCCCGTCGGTGCGCTGTGAGGGTTAGATGGAGCGGTGCGCATGCCGCGTGTAGAACGCTGCCCACCTCGGTCATAGTAAGCCCTCCATTGCAAACTTTTCATGCTCATGATCCCATGTGGATTGTTTTGCCCATCTTACAGATGTGCAAACTGAGCATCAGATAAATACAGTGATTCATCCAGGGTCACATGGGTAGGAAGGGCAGAGCTAGGTTTCTAACCCACACCTGTCTGACTTCAAGGTCTAAGTTCTAACCTGGGTGGCCTCCCAGACAAACCAGTCTCCTCACCGCCTCCTCCTGGTCGCATCACCAGCAGCCCTGATGATATGATGTGAAAGGACAGTCTCTATCAGCAGGTTGGGTGGAGGTGGGGAGGTGGCCTTAGGCCTGGGAAGCCTGGTGAGCAGGGTGTCCATCCAGGCACCCTTTAGATGGTTGAAAGTGGTTTTAAATACTCCCCAGCCTCTAGCCCTTTACTCCATCCTCACCCTGGCCAGAGAAAACTGGTGAGCCAGGTCTTTCTTTCAAGGGGATCTTCTTTGCACTAAAGCTACACATCCAAACACCCAGAGTCCCTCTGGCGTTAGGGACCACTGCTGTGCCTAAGCCCCACCATATCATGTTCCTGACCAACCTACTTATTGGAATTAAATCTTCATTTGGGATATGAGTGGAGAAGACGAGAAGGGACTAGGAGTAACCTATCGAGATTAAGCTATCTTTAAAAACAAAACAAATTGTGAACATTGCGTGTGCAGCTGCTGCCTGACTTGGTAAAAGGTATCTGGTGATTGCATGGGCAGTGAGAGACACGATACACATATCCATCTCTTGTCTTCTTTGCATCTGGGGGTCGGGCATGTGTTGATTTCATGTGAAGACATGCTTCCATGATAAGATTGCAGTGGTTTCCATGTGACCTCTGGAGATGCCTCATGTAAGAGTGTCTGGCATATAGTAGGCGCTCTATAAATCTTTCTTGAATGGATAAAAGAAGAAATGAATAAAGACTGCTGAGAAGTTTCCAAAAGACTCATACCACCAGAAGAAAAGAAAATCAAGTGAAGCCATATCTGAGAACACAGGTTTCATTCCTTGGCCATAACCTTCTTGCATTCTTCTGGATTTGCAAAGCCCTTCTCTCCCCAGTGTCTTCTCCAGCATGCTTAAGGCTGCACCATCCTCAGAGAGCCCTGAGACCCCCAGGGACTGCTCAGAGAAGGGAATGAGCTTTCAGGAGTGGTTCCGAGGAGGCGCATCAGACAGACTTGACAGGAGAAACAGCGAGACGTGCGAAGATCCAGGAGGGAAGAGTGTCTGTCCCGGCCAGGCTGAGCAGTGGGAAACGGGAAGGAAACAGGAAGCCACAGCGGGGCAGTGCCAGAGCTGCGGGTGGTCTCGGCTCAGAAGCCCTTAGGAGAAGTCTGGGAGCTCCGTGGCTTTTAGATGTGTGTTTCTGTAGCAGCAGCTTCAGCAGACTCTGGGTGCTTTTAGTGCTGTCTTAGACTGATGTGCCGGTCCTGCTCTGGAAGGGAGCGCGCCTGAGCTCTAAGGTCTTACCTAGGAGGACGTTTCTTCATAATTGGAGGCTGGGGGCTGTGTGCCCTGATAAAGGCCAGAGCATGAATTATTAGTCCTTATTCAGTAGGGACATTGGTTGGAGCCAGAGCTGCTTCCTGAAGAGAGTATAAATTATTCCTTTGTGGTTATCTTTGAAGAATAGAACACAGCTGAAGCTTATATTTTAAAAATTCATATTATTTGATCTATTTTGAATCACTGATTTACTTTGAGGGTTTTTTGTTTGTTTGTTTTTCATTTTTCCATATTGTATGGAGGCTTTGGAATCAATTTCATATGGTTTAGAGATCTTTTTTGGCCCACAGACTTTTCCAGAAACCTTAATCCAACGAGGTCTCTGGCTCATCCTAGGAAATTTGAGCTACCTTGTTTTTAAGCAACAATGAAGAATCTCTGGTGATGTGCAGCTTTGACCTCCCAGTGTCCTCCACTGTTTGTGCCTGATTGGTCCATGACAAGGTGAAAGGGTGGCCCTTGATTTTTTGAGATTCTCGGTGGACACGTGCCATATCTAATCTAAAAGACAAACGTTGCATTTTAAAAAGTTCTCTCCATCTCTCCCCTTTCTGCAGCTCAGCTGTTATAGAAATGCAGGCTGAGGGGAGCTGCCTGAGTTCCAGAAGCCTTGGAGATAAAATTGTTCCTTATGCACTCATCCCGAATAGATCACTACCTTTTGCACTATTACCTGTAGAAAACCTGGAGTTATACATGGGGCAGGGCATGGCATGCCAGCTGTGGGAAGCCAAGCATGGAACATCTGGATTGCTCATGGACAGCCCTTGGCCTTCCACTCGGAGGCCTAAATTAGCAAATGTAGCTATGAGAAGCCTAATTACAATGTGAATTCAGGTCAAGCCATTGCTCAGTGTCACATCACCCAGACTTCCGAATCCCACAGGCTGCTGCCGGGACCTTCTGAGGGCTGAAGAGAGGCCTCTGCCCTCTGCCTTTTTAGCATCTCCCCCAGGGAGCATCAGCTCTTCTGTGGCAGTTGATGAAACTATGTTGGCCATTTGAAAGAATCAAGCTAAAATAATTCATTCTTGAGGAGCTCATCAAAGTCTTTGAAATAATTCAAAGTAATTCAAAGTGAAGTCATTCACATGATAGAAAGAAACAGAAAAGGAAACATCCTTTGAATTGTCAGGGAAGGCAACACAGCTGTATTTTGAGACTGCTTTGGGTCATTGTGGCCACCCTGTCCTTTTTGTCGTTGGAGGCTGCCATCGTAGGAATCACCGTCTTCCCTTTCTTCCAGCCTTGGTTGTCAGTGAGTACCACAGAAGTCTGGACCACGCTTTCTCACCTATTCCTAGTCTTCCGATTGCTGGGAGAATCAGCAAGGACGGTTGCTATGGGATGGGCTCTTCCCTAAGTGGGTTGTCTCAAGAGCAGCCAGGGAGGAGGCAGGAGCGAGGCTCGTGGTGCTTCACGTGTACCTTTTACCAAGTCGAAGCAGCGTCTTGTCATTGCTAGGGCTGGGCATCAATGCTCACTGGCTCCGAGGTATGTTCCCACCACCCAGTGTGGTGGGTGGGATGGCATCTTCTAGGGTCATAGGATGTCCAGTCCCTTTAAAAGAACTTGTAATTACCCTTCCCTATAGACTGCTCTTAACTTGTAAGTGTTACGCTTCTACACACGAGGCTTCTTCGAAACTGTCTCTTTAAAAAAGCTCTTTCCACTTTCGGGTCCTATGACACTAGCTCCCATGATCACCCAGTGATCCACCTCTCCCTTGTAGCACCTGCCCCACGAGGCCAGACTCAGAGGGATGTGTCAGGCGACTTCCTAACAGGAGGCCTGCTCTGTTTGCTGTTGATTTCTCCAATTCGGGGATTTTCCCCACTTCCTCACACCCTGGTTTTCCTTCCTAGGAGAGAAGAGGTTGCAGAGGGAGAAGTCTGAGCAGGCTCTGGATAACCCAGAAGACCTGAGGGGTCCCATTCAGCTCCCCGTGTTGAGACAGGGCAAAAGTCCCTACAAGCGTGGCTTTGACGAGGGGGATGTGCATCCCCAGGCCAAGAAGAAGAAAATTGACCTCATTTTCAAGGATGTGCTGGAGGCCTCGTTGGAATCTGCGAAGGTGGAAGCCCACCAGCTGGCACTGAGCACCTCGCTGGTCATCAGGAAAGTCCCCAAGTACCAGGATGACACCTACAGTCGGTGTGCAACGACCATGACCCGTGGCGTGCAGAATGTCGGCCGGACCCAGGGGGAAGGGGACTGGAAGATCCCCCAGGGGGTTTCCAAGGAGCCGGGCCCACTGGAGGATGAAGAAGAGGAGCCTTCATCATTCAAGGCTGACAGTCCTGCCGAGGCTTCCCTTGCCTCTGACCCTCACGAACTTCCCACCACCTCCTTTTGCCCTAACTGTATCCGCCTAAAGAAGAAGGTCCGGGAACTGCAGGCAGAGTTAGACATGCTTAAGTCTGGGAAGCTTCCTGAGCCCCCCGTATTGCCACCACAGGTACTGGAGCTCCCAGAGTTCTCAGACCCTGCAGGTAAGTTGGTATTGATGAGATTATTACCGGAGGGATGAGCTCACAGCGGGCTGTGTGGAGGGTAGCCTAACATTGTTAAAGCCACCTTCGGGGAGACCAGAGGAGCGTGACGTGGAGGTGGCCCCTCTGTGGGTGGGAGCCTGCATCCTCGGTGCCTCTGACAGCCCATCTGCAGCTCTGGCAGGATGCTTCATGTGTCACCCTTGTATCCTCCTTGTCAATAAAGGAAGTTGCGCTGCAGAAGGGGTGTGTGCTGTGTTCTTGACCCATTGCCTTTCTACGGTGGTCCTACTGGTTTCTCAGCCCAAAGCTCAACTCCTAAACCCCGTCTTTCTCTCTCCCCAGTCCCAAGCAGGGTGTCCTGCTGGGGAGATCTCATGGCTTCCCAAACTCAGTCTAGGAACACAGCCTCGTTCTTCTCTTCCTGAATCTCTGTTCTGCCACCCGTGGTCCTACTTCCCCTACCTGGAGTTTTAGAAGGACGGCAAGCCCGGGGTCCAGGGTGTTCACCTGCATGCCTTCGCCCACTTCTGTTGGCCGCCTGGATCTTTTAGATTCGATCGACAACCAGGGAGGTTTTTCAGGTCACATCTGCAGCTGAGTGAGACTGTTTACACAGCACTTCCCCTTTTAACCACATCCCTCAGCTGAGAATGAGGCGCTTTAGATATGCAAAGCAGGCATCTGAACTAAACTGCATTTTGATCCTGACATCATGGGAGGCCATATCCGAGCTGCCTTCATTCACCTTAGTGGAGGGCAAACGCATCCCAATTCCTGAAGCTGTAACTTTGGGATATTCGATGTGCTGCTCTCCCGACCTGTGCCATGACACACAGGGAGTGTTTGAATCCCTTGAGCACCCACACGTGGAGGGTGAGGGCAGGCGCCCTGGAGCACGGTGGAGGTGATAGAGGCCACGGTGGACAATCCACAGAGAGAAAAAGTCACATGGAACAAGAAGAGTGCTTAGAAATAAATTCTGGGCTGGGGTTCGATCTTTCATAGGCTTCCATGGACTTCTGTCTCACACAGTGCAGCACCTGCCTTTCAGGCAATGTTTCCTGATCCTTCTGGAAAAATCTGTGTTTTTCCACCAGGTGTGAATGTTTCTTTCCCATCTGTCTTGCAGCCTCCGAGAGCATGGTCTCCGGCCCCGCCATCATGGAGGACGACGACCAGGAGGTGGATTCTGCAGACGAGTCCGTCTCTAACGACATGATGGCTGCGACCGACGAGCCCTCCAAGATGTCGTCCGCCACCGGGCGCCGAATCCGGCGCTTTAAGCAGGAGTGGCTGAAGAAGTTCTGGTTCCTGCGGTACTCCCCGACCCTCAACGAGATGTGGTGCCACGTCTGCCGCCAGTACACGGTGCAGTCCTCACGCACCTCGGCCTTCATCATCGGCTCCAAGCAGTTCAAGATCCACACCATCAAACTGCACAGCCAGAGCAACCTGCACAAAAAGTGCCTGCAGCTGTACAAGCTCCGCATGCACCCGGAGAAGACCGAGGAGATGTGCCGCAACATGACCCTGCTCTTCAACACCGCCTACCATCTGGCCCTCGAGGGCAGGCCCTACCTGGACTTCCGGCCCCTCGCCGAGCTGCTGAGGAAGTGCGAGCTCAAGGTGGTGGACCAGTACATGAACGAGGGGGACTGCCAGATCCTCATCCATCACATCGCCCGGGCCCTGCGGGAAGACCTGGTGGAGCGCATCCGCCAGTCGCCTTGCCTCAGCATCATCCTGGACGGGCAGAGCGACGACCTGCTGGCCGACACGGTGGCCGTCTACGTCCAGTACACCAGCAGCGATGGGCCCCCGGCCACGGAGTTCCTGTCTCTGCAGGAGCTGGGCTTCTCCAGCACAGAGAGCTATCTCCAGGCACTTGACCGGGCCTTCTCGGCCTTAGGCATCCGGTTGCAGGATGAGAAGCCAACCGTCGGCTTGGGCGTAGACGGGGCCAACGTCACAGCCAGCCTGCGCGCCAGCATGTTCATGACGATCCGCAAGACGCTGCCCTGGCTGCTGTGCCTGCCCTTCATGGTGCACCGGCCGCACCTGGAGATCTTGGACGCCATCAGCGGCAAGGAGCTGCCCTGCCTGGAGGAGCTGGAGAACAACCTGAAGCAGCTGCTCAGCTTCTACCGCTACTCACCGCGCCTAATGTGCGAGCTGCGCTCCACGGCCTCCACCCTCTGCGAGGAGACGGAGTTCCTGGGGGACATCCGGGCCGTGAGGTGGATCATTGGCGAGCAGAACGTCCTCAACGCCCTCATCAAGGACTACCTGGAGGTGGTGGCCCACCTCAAAGACGTCAGCAGCCAGACCCAGCGGGCAGATGCCTCGGCCATCGCCCTGGCCCTGCTGCAGTTCCTCATGGACTACCAGTCCGTCAAGCTCATCTACTTCCTGCTGGATGTCATCGCCGTGCTCTCACGCCTGGCCTACGTCTTCCAGGGCGAGTACCTGCTGGTGTCCCAGGTGGACGACAAGATCGAGGAGGCCATCCAGGAGGTCAGCCGGCTGGCCGACTCCCCGGGGGAGTACCTGCAGGAGTTCGAGGAGAACTTCCGAGAAAGCTTCAATGGGATTTCGATGAAGAACCTCAGGGTGGCCGAAGCCAAGTTCCAGTCCATCAGGGAGAAGATCTGCCAGAAGACCCAAGTCATCCTGGCTCAGAGGTTCGATTCCCGCAGCCGGATCTTCGTGAAAGCCTGCCAGGTGTTCGACCTGGCCGCCTGGCCCAGGAATAGTGAGGAGCTCATGAGCTACGGCAAGGAGGATATGGTGCAAATATTTGATCACCTGGAGGCCATCCCGACCTTTTCTCGAGATCTCTGCAGGGAAGGGCTGGACCCCCGGGGGAGTCTGTTGATGGAGTGGCGGGAACTCAAGGCTGATTACTACACCAAAAATGGCTTCAAAGACCTGATCGGCCACATTTGCAAGTACAAACAGAGGTTTCCGCTCTTGAACAAGATCATCCAGGTTCTTAAAGTCCTCCCCACTTCCACTGCTTGCTGCGAGAAAGGCCGCAACGCCCTCCAGCGAGTTCGCAAAAACCACCGCTCCCGCTTGACCCTGGAGCAGCTCAGTGACCTGCTGACAATCGCTGTAAACGGACCTCCGATCGCCAACTTTGATGCCAAGCGAGCCCTGGACAGCTGGTTCGAAGAGAAGTCTGGCAACAGTTACGCACTGTCTGCCGAGGTCCTCAGCAGGGTGTCTGCGCTGGAGCAGAAGCCAGTGCTACAGACTGTGGACCACGGGGCAGAGTTTTACCCCGACATTTAGGGAGCCGGCGCGGCAGAATTGACTAAGCTGTTGAATATTTTTTTAATCTATACTCATGAGCTTTGATATATTATATAAATATATATTATATTATATTATATATATATATATAAACTCACACTGAAATTTTTTTAAAAACCAAGGTGATGTGTCCACCAGAAGCCACTGGGAGCTTTCAGAAAGGAATAATGTCAGAAACTGACTCTTGTCTACAAAATCCGGCAGCTGCAACATACGTGGCAACTCATTTTCACTCACAGAAGCGTGTGCTGGGGCCACCTGTGTGCCCACCTAACAGTCTACCAAGAGCATAAGCTAAAATGACGGGTCTCTGTCATCGCCTTTAGGTAGCTTATTTGTTTATGTTTTCATTTGGGGATTGAGAGGGTTTGGGTTTGGGTTTATGTTCTTGCTTTTTGTTTTTTTGTGTGGTTTTATGATGGGTTGGGGTCTTGGCCTCCTCATTGACATTCTGGTCCAGCTGAATCAGATCTCTGATTTCAGATGGGGGTGCTGTGTATCTGGATTGGGGTGTTTAATCTTTCTCCCTCCCTGTCCTGACTTCAGCTTGAGAGATTTTTATTCATTTCCTGATGAGGGTTCCTTCACTGTCCTAGAAACAAAAGTGTCGGTCAAACTGTGACACCACCATTCCTCACCTCTGTTGCTTCTCTCCCTGCCCTGGGTTGTGGATTCCCTCCTTCCAGGCCCTGGATACTCTAGATATTACCTATTATACTGAAGGCAGCATTGCCTTACAGCCGAGCTTGAAATCCTAGGGAAGGGAGGATGTGTGAGCTTCTTGCATTCCTGTTTTTATGTGGTGGAAGATAAAACAATATAATTCCATTCAGATCCAGGGCTGTTGGGGAGACAAAGGGCCAAGAAGTCCAGATCCCAATAGAGCAGTGATTTTTGGCTAAAAACAAGTAAAATGAAAAGTATATATTCAATTTACATGAATTATTTATACTTTGTCTTTATAATCATATCATGTGTTAGGGGTATTTTTTTTTCCTTTAATAATCGAGAAATACCTGCTATAGTTCAGTGGCAGGAGATGTCAATGCAAGTTGTGCAAATGAGAGTCTCTAGAGATGTGGTCCTTCTTTTGCAGTGAGGCTGATAACAAGCTCCTCAGCCTGGCAGGAAGGTCGTGGGAAACTAGGGAATGTGTCTATGCCTGTGAACTCTTCCTTTTTTGAACAGGGTAGAGATGTCCTAAGGAAAAGGAAAAAACGAGAAGTAATACAGGACTCTCAAGGCGTCAGCCTACACACACACACACACACACACACACACACACACACACAACCACGATATAAGCTTTAGAAATAGCCACTTGCCTACTCCCTGGGGCAAGCAGCGGTTTAAGCTAGAGGAGTCTGATCAATGCTCTTTCGTTCATTTAACTACCAGTATACCTCGCAGGGGAGTTTTAACAAATGTGCGTGAGCTGTTAAAAACTTCTGTTCATGTTTCTACATCTGATTTATGCGTATTTTATATGCAGAGATCCTATCGCGTGGATGCAGGTCATATCTGGGGAGGGAGGACGATCTGAATTGCGCGTGTGTGGTCAGTTCTGCTGAGCGCTGCCCCTCTCAGTTAGCAGAGTGGGGTGCGATCTGGCCACAGGCAAGGCCCCAATGTCCTCAACCTGCATGGCTCAGACATCGTAAAACTGTGGTGGCTTCCTTCCTTCTTGGTTTATCTTATCTCCGAGGCCTCATGCCACCGT